TGCCGGAGGGTGCCCCGGGTCTGCCCGGAGGCTGGCCGCAGGGTGGGGAGCGTTGCACGGTGGCTTCTGTGTGCCTTTGCCCCAGGGGTAGCCCCTGCAGCTGGCAGGGTTGTGCAGGTCCTTTATGAGCCCGCAGCCTGATCGGCAAGGCTGCACCTCCCGTTAAAACTGCCTGTACATTGCAATCGCCATATTCCTTACCGGAGGTGTAACGGCAGAGGTGACGTACCGACGGGCAGTCCAGCGCTCTGCACCGAGCCTGCAACTCATCCCTTCCTCCTTCTGCTGCAGGTATGGGCCATCCGCCGCTGGAGTCCCACCTGGCCGCAGCCAGTGCTGCACATCCGAGGACCAAGCGATGTTCCTGCAACAGCTGGCTGGATAAGGAATGCATTTACTTCTGTCACCTGGACATCATCTGGGTCAACACACCTGGGTGAGCATGAACGTAGCTTTCTGGGGGTGGTGGCTCTGCTGATGAGTGACTGTGCTTTCTGATCGAAGATGGGCTTGGATTAGGGGAAGGTGAGAAAGGGTCCCAGTGCTGTGAGGCTCTTGTAGCACCTGCTCCAAAGAGCATTGCAAGTCCAGTCCTTTGCAACATCTAGAAAGGGACAAGCTGTGCTTCTGCTCCGGAGTTTGAGCATAACCCACAGGGGAAGGGGGTGAAAGCACAGGGCGCTGCCTGCTTGTGGGTTCATCTTTTTCTGAGATTTGTACCTCTGCAAACTGAAAGCAACACCAAGATGTTACGGCCGTAAATCAGAAAGTTACTTTACCCACTTGTGAACTGTAACCCTGACTGCTGACTGCCAGTATTGTTAATGAGACAGTGGTGGGCTGGCACTATAGTCCCGTGGCTGCCAAGTCCTGCCCTCAAGAATGCTACAGCAGCTTTCCAGGCAGTTTCAGGCCAATGGCCATCACACTGTAGCAAAACACATGTACTCAGGTGTGGTTATAATCACGCTTACTAACGTGCAATTACAACTCACTGCTTGCTCGGAGAATAGTTGCAGTCATTGCCAATCCTAAACCCTCTGGGAGAGTAGATTGCGATCAAAGATGGAACGGGAATGTGCTAACAGCTCTGAAAGCATGCTGTGATCAGAACAACCTGTTATGGCCCCAAGACATCTTGATTTGTACTATGTCCTGTGTGTTAAAACCCATGGGGGGGAGGGAAAGCATCTCTGTGCTTGAGAAACTGGCTGCTTGCTGCTGGTGGGGCGGGTGGACAGGGGCAGCCGCACTCCTTGTGCGCTTTGCCATCCAGGTGAACTGCCAGCTCGCCTAGCCCATGTGGCGACCCTTGCACAGGCGCGTGGGCTGCTGCAAGGAGAGAAAATTCCATTTGCAACCCTGCGCGTACTGGCACGGCAATCTCCCTGGGAGGGGTAGGGTGGGTAAACAGTAGGTGGGAGAGGAGCTGGAGTTTAAAGGCTTAGACATATCAGTGACCTTTTCACCTTATGTCTATAGATGAGTCTTTTATTATCCTGGCACTGGCTTGGCTGCCTCCCAGGACTGTGTTATAAACCTGTTGGCTAATCAAAAGTTAGTTGCATAGCTGATTTCTTTTGTTTTTAACAGACACACCGCTCCCTATGGCTTGGGAAGCGCGCCAAGGCGGCGCAAGAGATCGCTTGGCAGGTGCGAGTGCTCACACTCAAGGGACAACATCTGTGCCACCTTCTGCCAGGCAAAGCCTGGGTAAGTCAGGGGAGTCCTGGGGATGTCCCTGGGGGCTGCGTGGAGTGGGTGCAAGCAGACGAACAAAGCTTAGGACAAAGCTTAGGAGCTGGAGTAACTCTACAGCCTCCCCAGGGATGGCTGTGCAGCTCTTTGCAAACAGCTGAAACTTGTCTAGTGGCTTTCATACCCCTCCCAAGAGGCCCTGGCAAAGTGTCACTAGGGTGTTTTTCTTGTACAATAGTCTCTTTACTAGCTGATATGAAGCAACGTTACCTCCATCACTCCTGCTGCCAGGAGGCTGAGGAAGTGCTGGGTGCGCTGGTGGGAAGGGAGGAGCTGGCAGCAGACGGGGAGAGGAACTAGCGGAGGGTGTGAAGGTTTGGGACACCGGTGTCTCCTGCATGGCTCATGTGGGAGAGGCTGCAGGAGAGTAGGGCTGCTGTGGAGTGGGACTTGGAAGTCAAAGACCTTCTGTAGGCAGCTCTTTTCGTAGTGCACGTGGGCTCTCAGTTGTCTTGCTTCAGCCAGCGGCATAGGGGACTGCTTACGCTGTGGGGAGGTGGGGAGCAAAGTCGTCGTGGAGATCTGTCATTAACTTCATAGCAAGGTGATAGTTAAAATCCCCAATCATTAAATATGACTGAATAGAGAGAGGTCTGACAGAAGAGGATAGCAGTAAAAGTGAGCTATGAATAGCTCTCAAATAGCTGCAATTAACCCTTCAAAAACATGCATTCAACTGTCTTAGTCTGTCACTGGAGACGTTAGAGCAACATTCCCCCTGGTACTTACCATAGCATGGCTGGATACGCGTGCTTCATGCATCTCCTCTTGCTCATTAGGTACCTCCAGAGTCTGAAGCTCCCAGTGAGCTCTGGAGCATCAGTGAAGTCCCTGCAGAGCGGTGGCATAAAGCCTTCCCATCATGGCCTGCTGAGAGCTCTCAGGTGAGCATGCCACTTCAACCCACTCTGCATGTCCCTCATAAGCACTTTGAAATCTGCAGTTGTGACCCCAGACTGCAGTTACCACTTGGATTTGACCTGACTTCTCCCTCTCGTCTGCCTTTAAACGAGTAGACTTGACTAGTTCTGCTCTCTGTAGAATTGAAGGCTAACAGCTGAGGGAACCAGCTTTGCTTGTGTCATTCCAAAACTAGAGGAATATTACATAAAATGTAATTCTTGATTGGAGTGGGATGTTCCTCTGATATGGGACAGGCAAACAGGTGATGTACGGGAAGGGGAGAGGGACAGCATCATGTAGGAAAATGATTAACTGGGCAGCAACTTTGGACCAAAGGAAATAGCTTTTTTTCACATCATCACATCGGTGAGTTGTGGAACTCACTGCTGGAAGAAACTGCAGGCTCCAGGACTGTAAATGAGTTAAAGGGAGTTGGCAAATTGAAGGAGGGTTGGTCTATTGGTGGCAGTTAAATCAGATGCAGTGGGAACACTTCCTGAATGGCAGATCTGGGAAAGCATCACCTGAGTCATGCCCTGCTGCCATGGGACTCCTCTGCCACTGGCCACTGGTGGAAAGGATATTGGGCTGGATGGATCTCCTCTGTGGCTTAATACAGCTGCAGCTAGAAATTCTCCCTCTTCCGCCATCTTTTGCCTCAAAATAAATCTTGGTGAGGAGCAGATAAATGTCATAATACGGGCTTTTGCTGAGTAGTAGGAAAATGGACAGGAGAATCAACATCGTATGTCTTCTGTTTACAGGGATCTTGCCATCTCCAGTCTGCGGTTCCGCAAGCATCAGCATCGTTCTCGGAGGAGCGCACAGCCAACAGTTTTGCCTTGGAAGAAAAACATCCGGAAGAAGAAGAGATAAGAAACAGGTGCATACCAAGTTCACCAGAAGAATTTGGAGTCCCATGGGTGCCGCTAACTCCGCTGTCGGTAGTTAGGGCTGAAGGAAAGGCCATGAGTGGAAGGGGGAAGAAGTGGAAGTCTCCATGCTCCTGTTGCGTGAACCAGTACTGCATGCACTCCAGAGACTGTTGTAAAGGGAAAACTGTCTCTCTATACAGTCATAGATGTGTCGTGGAGCTGAATTGTGCCTTTTTGGATCAGGCAAGGGTCTTGCTGGTAGAATACTATCTTAACTCTGCACTGGAGTCCTAGGCAGAGGGTCAGCCTGCGCTGGGCGATTGAATCACTTGTAAACCAGACGGCTCTGTGCAGTTCTGGACCTGCAGCCCTGAGCCCCTGTCACCAGCCCGGTCTGCGCTGCCTGTGAGCCACGTTTGAGCATGGTTCCAGCTTGGCCCTATTCAAAGGTGGTTTGGCTTGTCGTTGTAGATGGGGATAAACTGCCTCCAGCGTGGCGTGCCTGAGCCCACCTTTGCACTTTTTACTCTTATTTGTCAGACAGTGTGATGTGCGTATGAAAGAGACTCCCATGGTACAACAGCTCCCAGTTTTTATTAAAAATATGTACAATTCAGAAGCCTGAAAGCCAGCTGAGTAGTCAGTGGCATTCTTTGGCTGAGAAATTCACTGAAGGGCCATCCTTAAGTGGCTCTTGTTTAGGTGGAGGTTAGCTTACTTACCCCAGAGCTTGCATCAAATCCAAGCATGACCCCTGCCATCAGGCACAGCAGCAGCAGGGATGGGGAGGCTGAAGTGGAGCTGTAATTCTGCAGGAGCCCTGTGCATGCGGACCCACATAGCCTGGGTCCAAGGCAGAGCCGAGCTGCTAGTCTGGATGAGTTCAGCGCTGTGAATCTGTCTCATCTCCTTCAATGTACCCTTAGCAGAGTAGAGTACTTCCAGCTCTTAACCGAATATCCCAGCCTTCTTTCAGCTCTGCCTGAAAGGAAAGGCTAGGGGCAGAAAAGATGGGTGGTGGGAAAATAGCACGCAATGGCTTGCTTGCTGCTTCACTTAGATCAGGTCTCTGAGTCAGACTCTATATGATAAATGACCAGTATATGGATAGCATGTCACTATGAGAAGTATAACCTGAATTAGGCAAGGGGCAGCCAGGTGAGACTGATGTGGAGGAAAGGATTGGTAAGAAGAGAGCACAGCACTCTCTGCACAGCTTCAGAAGAAAGGCTTGGATTTTAACCCATGCCAGAATCACAGCTGCTTCCCCAGCCACGGAGCAGCACAGTGCAGCTGGCCCAGAGGAGGGAAGGAATAATTTAGAAAAAATGCTGAGCCCAAGACCTAGAAACCAATCTTGCAGGCAAATGCAATCTCAAGGCTCTGGAGCTGTATCACAAATGCACTTTTGTTTGCCTGGGCAGATTAACTTCTATTATAAATTGTGGCTGCAGCTGTCATCTGGTTCGTGCAGATAAATAATTGCTCTCCTGGAACCACTGTTGGGTCCCCCTTGCTGCCCAATTCAGTATTACACATGAGCATTTAAAAAGGCTGCTTGAAGTTGGTGGTGGACCAAAATCTGTGGCTGTTGCAAGTGTAGTCCCATTGGACGTACAAAATACTTCCTTGATTTTGCTTTAAGCCCTAGAGGGGGGGGGGAAATGAGAACAACTGGTTGTATCGTAAATGAAACAACAGACTAATCATTTGGTCCCCAAAGCTGCAGAGAATCTTTTTTATATTTAACCTTCTGAAGGTTTAAGTCATTTCAAAAAAAAAAAAAAAAATCCTGAAAGGGTTTGTTCCAGAGGAAACTTTGCACATGGTTAAATGTGAGCCTAGTAATTTAAAATAAAACTACTGCTCTAAAGTACTATGTATATCTCCTTGTGTGTATAATGTCTCATCTTTAAGTGACTTACTGCACACGTGCCATATGTAGCATCCTGAAATCTGTATATTTATTTAAATCTATTGATTTTTTTTAGACAGTAATTTGCCAAATTTAATTTGTAATAAATAATGTCAAACGTCAATATTGTTTTTCTTCCTTATTTGATGGCTGTGTGGTGGTGGATGAAATGAAAGAAATCCAGATGGCCAAAAGCACTGTGAAAGTGAGTGGGGCAGCAGAGCTGGGTGATAATGGGGAGGCTGTGCAGTCTTGTGAATGGTCCTGAGCAACCCACTGACTTTTAGATCTGAGTTTTGCTGACTTTTTTTAACTCTTTTTTTTTTAAGTGCAGTTTTAAAAACATCATTTTGCTGATTGTTTTTAATTTTTTTAATACAGTTAAAAATCCATCATCCATTTGATGGTCATCTTTGCATGAAGACCACACCATAGATCATTCTGGTGTAGTTAACTCAGTGAATCTCATGGAGCAGCTGTGAGAAGGGAATAAAAAAGAAACATTAACGTAATAGCTAGCACTATGCTTGCTGCATACCCAGAAACCATAGCACTTGTTTGTGTGTTTCCACTGCTCCCTGGGAAGAGTAGTTCAGAGAGCTTCATCCCCATCCTTTCCTATTGCTCAGCTTTCTCGACTGAGCTGCATCACCCACGGCCAAGCCTCCACCCTGTGACTTGGTGTTGGAGCATGCAAAAGTCAGATTCCTTCAGATGTTTCTATGACAATAAGTCATAGTTTCTATGACTTTAATGATAAAGGTCCATGATTAAAAGGTCCTTGAATTACAGGTAAAAGGGGAAAAAAAGGTACCCTGAAACACTGCAAATTTCCTATGTATAATATCTAAGCTGCAATTCTCCCCTCTTCTGTTCAACCTGGTCCCAGAACAGGCCTGAAAATTTTGCCTGTTTGGGGTAATTTCCATGGTATCCTGCCTGGACTGATTTCAGGTGGCGTGAATGAGGAAGCTGAGGGCTGTTGGACATTCATTCATTTCCTAGGAAAGATTTCCCCACCATTTGGAATGTCTATTAAGCCAGCCTTGGGCCCAGCCTTTTATTTGTCTGTCTTAAGTCACAGAAGAACTATGGCCTTAGTCAGCCCTTGCTCTCAGAAAATGAAGCATCCCTGCTTGGTCAGCTGGTGGCCCAGCCAGCTATGAGAGTAATAGCACAAGGGGAGCATCATGTTTGCTGGAGGTGTGACCAAAAGAAATGCTCTCCAGCCCTGCTAAAAAATGTGGACTTTAAGCGAGACATTCAAATGAGGAGAGAAAATTTGAACTAAACCATTTGTGGGTGAGTTGGTTTTTTTGTTTGTTTGGGATATTTTGTGTGTGTGTGGTTTTGTTTGGTTCGGGTTTGGTTTTTTTTTTTTTCTCCTTTTTTTTTTTTCCCTGGCTCTAAGATCAATGAACAGAGGAAAATTTCCAGGTAGGGCTGAATGACGGAAAATCTTCCAGGGCAGGCTCTCCCCATTCACTTGGGGAAACTTTGAACTCACCAGTGAGTACTACAGAAGGAAATACTGTAAGTTAACATATGTGGATAACCAGTTTAAAAATACCACAGGCCAGACATCCAGAAAAGTGCCCCAAGGCCACGATCAAAAAAATCTCAGAAGCCCTCCTTGCTAGAATCTTATGTAAGGCCCCTCAGGTGTCCCACCCAATGCTGAGGAGCAACCTGAGCCTGGCAGCAACCCCGTGGTGTTGCCCGGAACAATGCCAACATCTGTGCAAATCCCAGCCCTTCGGGTACAGTTTTAATTACAAGAGCCAATTAGGTATCACCCAAGGGAAGAAGAGAAGGGAGATGCTTAAGAGCATCTTAATTAGGGTGAAAAGGGAGAAGAGAGGACGAGCTTATTCTGAGGTTATTGAACTCAGTGATAAAGATTAGCTGAAGTAGGTTGAAGGAGGCATATTTTATAAATTCTCACATGTAACAGGAAAGAACAGAATAACAAAACTTTATTAAAGAGGAAAATCCAGGAAAGCAGGCAACTTCCAATGCCAGTTCTAAGTATAAGTGCTAGGGTACCTTTCCTAAGATACAACTTTTTGATTGAGTTGTCCTTTTTATGACAGACAGTTCCCATAAAAGTCAACCTCTTGTGCCCTGCATGTGACTCTGGCATTTTTTCTGCAGCAGGAGTTCTTGAAGAAGAGCCTTTATAGATGGCCCACAGGCAGCTAACTTCGTTTCTGTGCTGTAGGACAGTTCTGTCCTCATCAGGTTAGGCATTATTTTATTTGGTGGGACTTTGTTCACATCTCACAATGTTGAACTGGTAGGTTCTGCTCAAGAGAAGAAGTGTTGACATAAAAGTAGAAAGATACTTTGAGTGAGGGGTATTTGGGTGGATATCTTTTCAAAGCCAGCATTTGGTGCTTCCATGGAAAGAAGAAGCTGTCCATGGCAGATATTGGCTTTGCTAGAAGATTCTCCTGCCTGGCATTTTATAATTTGTCCTGCTTTGGTTTGGATCACCCTGCAGAAGAGCTGGGCCTTCTTAAATAACACCTATGGTGCAAGAGGAGGGGAAGGGACACTGACTAATGGGTGCAGAGTGATGCTTTGTCATGGGTCAGCAGCTGGTCCCTGTGCCTTTGGTTTTGGCACCTCCGTTCTGAGCTAAAAGTTCAATGGCTCTGTGGAGGCTGAATATGGACCAGCAGTATACACCCCCCAGACAGCACTGGTGGCCTACCCAGCAGCTGCATTTCTGTAAGATTCAATCTATTACAGAAATCTTTCACTCCTGCATATGACTAAGGCCAAAGCTACAAGACACTGAGGCAGATATTCTGCAAAAGGTCTTCTCTCTGAGAAATACCTCTGTGAACACTTATGCTGTAATGTCAAGCTTAGAATAATGTAGTTCAATGGAATGGAAGCTTCTCAGTGTCTTCCGCCACCAAGAGGTTCTCCAGTCATCTCGGCCATGGCCAGGGTGCAGCCTTGTGGTTTGACTTGCACCCTTCAGACTATGGCAGGATATGGCACATGTCAATGAGTAGTTCTAGACAAGGAAATAGAGGGCTTGATTAAACTTCTGTGTTTACAGTTGCCAAATCTTC